AAGACATGGTGAATAATGATAAAAGACAGCATCACTCAAATGGCAAGCAGGTAAAAAACAAAATTAGAGAAGTGATTCTAAAGCTTCCCAAATGATGGAATGGGGAAATTGCTAGGGTCAGGAGGTTTTCTAACTGTCACAGGGCTTTGTTTGGGAAATATTTGGTTGATGGGTTGTTTCTAATATAGACCTTCAAGTGTCAGCAACTACATACTTATATTGAAGACATTACTTATTACATGCAGGATAGTCTCTCTGGCTGCTGTCTGACCTAATGAAGTCCCATCTATGTCCCTCACTTCTAACCATTGACTCTGCTTTCCATTATCTATTTTTCTCTTTTACTGTAGTTTCATTCTTTGCTTTACCTTTAGTAGAGAAAACAAAAATGCAGAATAAAGGCTGAACAGTGCACTCTTAAAAATAAATAAGTGCTGCAAAATAAGACATACATAATGAAAAAAACAAATCAGGATGGGGATATGACTGAAGAAGTTGTGTGCATGTCCAGTTTCAATGGAAAACTTTTTAGCCAGTTTTATTGTGTTAGGAGAGCAACCCAGTGGCAGCTGATCACTAAAATTTAATTTGTGAATTAAAACTGAAAACTCTAGCAGGAAACATAGGTTCATTTCTCTTGTGTGTTAATCAGTTATTACTCTCATGCCAACAGGTATTATTATATTCGGACACGTGTTTCCATAAGAAAAAAGCCAAAGACATCATCCATAAATTATGGGGCTTGAGTTGACTGCATATTACATAGTCTCTGCTATACCCACCTCCATTTTAATTACTCTTCTTTACAAATAGAGATAGTGGTCCGTAAGCGCATTATTAATGCAAAACATATCTTTTGTTTTTATAGTCTTTGCCAGAGGCTATATTGAATTTAAAGTTTGGGGTTATTTCTGAGTCAGGAACCTCATACATTTGGATAAAAGCCAAACTTCTAACATTTAATCTTAACTTAGCTGGATATTTTATATGCATCAAATTTTATTCAAGAAAGGTCTCAGCTATTTAAAATCTCTCTTACCACTCACATATCTAAAGACTAAATTTTAAAGGCTGTCAGTCATTCTACTGAAAGATTGTTATTAATGATTTATACCTCTTACATGTTTTGGAAATTAAGTTGTTTGTATTGTCTATGATTGAGAACTCTCTTGAAGAAAAAGTACACTGCTTGAAAATCAATGTCCTTGGTTATTTTAGATGTGCCTTTTTAAATAGCATATTAAAGTGTTTGCTAACCTCTTCAAGGATATATAGCTCACAGGAAAATATGATTTTGTGCCACAGCAAATATATTCATTTTTTTTAAAGATTTATTTATTTATTTATACAAGAACCGGAATATAGGCCAGATGCGTGGGAGGGTGAGAGGATTCAATAGAGACAGAGTGGGGAATAGAACAGGCAGACTGACGAAATACACTGCTGAGGGGAGCAGTGGGTGAGACAGGAGAGGTCTGCCACGCCATGTGGGACCCTCACTGGCCGGCCATGATCCAACCAGCGCTGCAGAGGCTGCGGACAACTTCACAGCGCTGCACTCAACCGCCTGCGCCACCAGGAGAGGCCCACAGCAAATATATTCTAATATCCAACAATGACACATAATGTGAGATCAGAAGAATCATAATCATTAAGAATAAGAGCAGGGGACCTCCCCGATGGCACAGCGGTTGAGCGCTGGGCCGCTCGCAGCCTCTGTAGCAACGGTTCGATCCCCAGCTGCTCCCCGGCCACCAGAGGAGGGTCCCACATGGCACGCAGACCTCCCCTGCCGCCCGCTGCTCCCCTCAGCAGTGTACTTAGGTTCATCTGCCTGCTCTGCTCCCCGCTCTGGCTCTGATTAATTCTCTCACCCTCCGGTGCTTCTGACTGTACCCAGTGCTTGTATAAATAAAAAAAAATAAAAATAATACATTTATTAAAAAAAAAGAATTAGAGAAGGAAAAGAGAACTTTCATTATCATAAAGCCCACCATTATCATTTTATAAACATGGACATTGTACCCCAGAGTGATCTAAATGAATTCTCTTAGACCAGTATGGAGTCTCCAGTCCAGAAATCCTGGCTTTTAGTTTATGGCTCCATTTTCAGTGGGCTTATTCATACTCTTCAACAAGAACTTTCTCCCGTTTTATGATAGCTTCATCAATGACTACCTAATAACCAGATACCCATGATAGTTCAAGGTTTTGAGACTTGAAGAGTAGAAAGAATCTCAACATGGTTGTCTTAATGCTATAAAATCTATAAAAGGTGGGTCAATTTAGTTGCATTTCTAAAGAATAATGGTAACAAGTTATTACTAAAGATGATAGCATTGGTAAAGTGAAGAATATATACAGTTTCGTGATATGCTTATTTATTTTCAGCTAGGATTTTATTATTTTGAGTTTACTTTTATATTTTTATGTGTGGTGAGAGGAGGGTGAAAGAGAATTAAATTAAAGGAGAAGAGACTTTTTGGAGTCAGGCAACCCTGGGTGAGGATTTCAGGTCTTCTCTTGTTAGCAATACTATGTTGAAAAAAATTACCAAACGTTGCCTGTGTTGTTGTCATGAGGATTAACTGAAATTATAAATTATAAGTGTGAAAACACCTAGCACAGTCCTTGGCACATATTCAGAAGTCAATAATGCTAGTTTTTCTTATAGTGTTTATAACATAATTTAACCCAGAAACCACCACCCACTTCTGTTTGTTAGAAGCCCCATATTAGTCACTCTATGGAAAAAAGGAGAGATGCCCAGCATTATCAGATCTGTGAGTATCATGTGCTGAAATAATATTTGATTTTATTAATATTAATTTTGTGAAACTCTTTACAACTGAATGTACTCACAGATGGAGAATAGCATTTTCAACTTGGGTAAGATTACAAAAGACATTGAGATCTAGAGAAATTAATGTCTTGGGATGGAGCTATCAAATCAGGGTCATCTTTCAAAGTTGAGAGTTGTGAGTGGCACTAAAGAATAAACCAAGATACATTGCCATTGCCTACTTCCTAAACCTCTCTTCAGTCCATCTCTTCATTTCTATTTTGCAACTTTCTTTTAGTTTAGACATCATTTCCTGCCTGGATTTTTGCCAACATGTAAAACTGGTCTTGCCACCCCACCACTGTTTTCACCTAATCCATTGACCATGATCCATAGGGATCTTTTAGAAACTGAAGCCTGATTCCCTGCCTCTTCTACTTAAAATTACCCCTCACATCCTCATGTTGAATTCTAAGATCACAGCATATTATTCAGTATTGTGTATTAATTAGCCTGTGCGTATCACAGCAGTCTCTTTGATTATCTCCAAATGTTCCCTATATTTCAGTATGTCTAGCAGTGGATTATATACCCAGTAAACTATAGAGTCAAATTTTAGAACATTTTTATTGCCCTACCCTCTTCCTGGATATGTCACCACCCTCGCATCCCTCTGTTTAAGCTTGACCGACTTATTTTGATTTTTAGACTTTCGTATTTGTTTTTACTTTATATTTGTATTGAGGCAACACTGGATTACAACACCATAAGTGACTCAGAGATCTGGGAGTAGAGTTCTTCAGGTATATGTCAGCATACCACACGCACCACCCAGGCACCCACGGATTAGCTTCTGATGGCCTGTCCATCAGGAGAATCTTTGTATCCTGAACATCTTGCACGACCTTAGTTTTCAAAAATGATGGTGTGGGGTTCATTCACAATTAGAATTGCTGTCATTTGGTCCAAATTAAAAGCTTTATGATTCTCAGACTTTGCTCAATGGAGGTAATCAGAGCAAATAGTAGTGGGCAACTATGTCAGAGGTTCCGTTGGTGCAGGGAGTGGAGGCTGAGACTGTGTCTCTTCCCCTAATGTGACGTCCATTCCTTTATGAAGCGGTAAAATGAGGAAAGGCCAAGCACGAAATAATAGAGCTGGAAGAGGTTCGTGGTGATCATCCTGTTTTGAGAAGTAGAAATAAAGTGCCAGGGAGGTGGAAGAGGGTAATGCCAGCATGGGTGCAGAACCCGTTATCTTACTTCCCAATCCAGTATTCATTCATTTGCTTTATTATTCTAACAGAATTTTTTTTTTTTCTCTTTGGAAGTAAGCAAACTCTGTATGCCAACTTCCTGCCTCATTGGTCAGGCAGCAGAGAGAATTGTAATCTGCTATGTCGGGTCAGCACCTAGGGAGATTCTCTGGCTTAGATTTGGGGCTACTCAGCACTTACCAAAAATAGCTTAGGGGCTGCAAGTAGACTGTTGACTCTGATCTTTTATATTTATCCCACTGGCATGTTCTCATGAAAATGACCTCCTATTTTTCTCTCATTCTTCTTCTCTGCCTCAAAAAAAAAGAGACATCCTGTATGACATATGGAAGGGTTCCAACATCAGCCAGTGCATATATTAAAGTTTTAAATCAATTATTGTTCTAGTACACACCCTGGGGTTGAAAAGGAAAGAACATCCAGGACTAACAAACCTGATTGTTCTGGCAAAGTTGCCATTCAATTCATGCTGGCATTTCTGGGCTTTTCTTTTTCTTTAATATCCCAGCCTCTTTTTTTTTTTTTAAAGTTAATGGCTCAAGTAGCAGTGTTTAACATTACTATTTCATTCAGTTTCTCCATGAGCCTCTACCTCCTAGTCTCTTGAGGGTTTCCCAGGGGGCACAATGCCCAGAGTTTGCTTACTTAGTCACAGAGACAGCTGTCAGTGTGATAGTGAGTTCATTAGACCGTGGATTATTCCTTGTTTTATTAACTTCTGAGCAAGGGAGAGACTCAGGCTTAGGGATATGAGCACTTCACAACTTGGCATTCTTAGTTTGAGAAAAACACTTAATCATAACAGTCAAGAAACCAAATTATTACTGTCTATAATGTGGTGAATTTTAGCTTGACAACTACTGTGAGTTGTACCTATATAAGTATTATGATTAATAATGCCCTAAATGAAAACTATAAAGTGTGATGCATGTTTTTTTCTAGGCAAGTACTGGAAGTCGGTTAGGACGGTGACTGTGCCAAGGGGCTGTGCTCTGGCCGGGGCTCAGTTGCAAGAGGAGACAGAGACCGTTTCTGCCCTGGCCTCCCTGACGGTGGATGTGGAGCAGCCCTTTGCTCGAGAAGAGAGCAGGTGTGGAGCCAACATGGGGGAAGCATCAAGGTCAGTAATGTCCGTCGTTAGCATTCGGGAACCTCTCTTCAGGATTTCCTGCACCTGTCTTCCCCAATTCCACCACCTGTCTTCTCCAAAGCCACAAGTGCCACCGCACATTCTGCTGGCTATCAAGAATTCCTTTGTTTCATTCTTTGTGGAAAACACAGACTGTAGCTTGTGATTGCAGATCACAGACAAATAGAGGGGATGAGGTAGATGGTAAGAGAAATCACTGCTGATGGCTAATTTCATTCAGATCATTATGGAAAGAATTGTTGTGGGCTTAACGTCTTTCCTAGTTTTCTCTATTTTTTTCTGGATGTTCTTTGTCTCATTTTGAAATTAATGATATAACGGGTAAAAGGAGAGGAGAAGCTGGAGGTGTTGCTATCAGTTGGGTAGCCTAAACAAATCCAAATTTGGTATGTGGTTGTCCTTGAGATACAATGACTGGACAGGGGAGCAGGTCACCTCCAAAAGACACAGGAGTGTGTGCAAAGGAATATGTGGACTTGAATCTGATTTTATTTGGCTTCATGGTGAAAGGAATTGACTTTGGTTAGTTCTTATATGGATATAACTTTCGAGGTTAACCTAAGATTAGCTTTGCTTGTTTACCTTTTAAGAAATATTTGTCAGTTGTGCATTTTGGTATTCGTCACCCTGTTCTATAGGCAGTGCTACGTTGAGACTGTCTTGTAAGACTACTGTGACCCAAGCCGCCAAAAATGTATATAAACATTGGTACTTTCTATAACAGAGTTCAAAGTCACATCTCCTCCATTTAAAAGTGAATCAGGTGAGGCTTTGCTGCCAGCTTGCACTTTTAAATGGCTTCTGAGAAGGAAATAGGACTCCCTCCGTCAATAACATCACCGTTAATTACACAGATCCTACTACTTGTGCACAGGCTGGCAGTTTTCCCAAGAATGCACAAATTTGAACACTTTTAACTTTCTTGCTTTTACTACATCTCCAGAGTTTAATGGATTTTACATCTTGTTTTGGTCAAAAAAGGAGATAGATTGAATAGGATTTCATTTTTATGCAGTTATTTTTTTTCTTTCCATAACCACTTAGAGAGCAGATTACCACCGGGGGAAAAAAAAAGTTGTACAATATTGTATTAGAAGGCATCTTCATAGGGGCATCTGGAACATACGGGAAAACTTACTCTACATCTTTGATAATATGAACTAACCCCCTGCTGTTCCCAGCTAAGAACCAAACCAAGTTCATAATCCAAAGGTGTTGCAATTATTCCCAAGGCCAAATACAGTTAGTTTTCTGTCATCTGAGGGCTATAAAACTGAGGAGCCTAACATCTGTTAGTATTGGATATAAAAGGAGTATAGCTATTCTTTAGAATTCATTTAATGTAGAGAAATGAAGTTAAATTCCAACCTGAGTAAAATGAATTGGGTAATTTTGTCCACAAAACTGCAGGGCTTAAAATAATTAACAATGTTATGTTGTGAGCCTCAAGTCATATAAAAATCTCGGCACTTCGGCAAGAATTGTCTCTGTAAGCATGCTTATTTTTCCTCAGGTAAATAATATGTATATGTGTGTGTGTGTGTGTGTGTGTGTGCGCTTAACTCCTGATAATCTACAGGGACTTAACCCTGGCTTCAGTTCACAGTGATTTTTTAACTTCATCTGATGGCAGAGAGAGAATATTAATGTGAATGTTCTGATGTACAGGGAAACAGTTGAAACTTGGGGTCTGGATTCATCAGTTTATCACTTTGCACAGATTGTATTCACTTTAATTGCATTCTTGTGAAAGAAATACGGTTTATCTTGAAATGTTTTCTATGACTTTGAACTTACCTTTTCAGTGAGGAAAAGGAAAATTCTGCGGAGGTGGGGGGGTGATAGCCACAGAACTTGTGTATTTTCCAGGGGATTGCTATCAAAGTTATCCACTACTTAATTAGGAAAAAACACTTTAAGAATTAGATAAAGAAGTGGAAATGTTCTTGGGCCTTTGTTATGATGCAATATTATAAGTACACAGGAAATTGAAAAGTTAGAAAAATCAGAGAGCTAAATGGATGGAAAAGGGTGAAGGCAAGATTCTTTTTATAGGAAATTCTTGCCAGTTATTTTGGAGGATATATTGGTGTTTGGAGTGAGATGACTCATTTTGTACTAAGATTTTGGGTAAAGCAGCTCTTTTCCTGGCCAACTCATATCTGACTCATTTACCACTAGTGAATAAGGGATAAAATGCTCCTGGCTAAGAACCATTGTAAGTATTTTTTGTTCATTTTTCTTGGATGGGGGTTGGGAGATGACAACACAGTACAAACAGTCATTTCATTTTTGTAACTCATTGATGGACCATGAAGAATAAATTATTAGAAAAACGTTGACATGTCGGGATTCAATTTGGGGGGATGATGGAACTGAAATATAATTTTCAAAATATAACTTCAAGCAGCAAAGGACTTGAGCAGGAAAAAATGGTCAGTGGGTCATCAAAACACAAAAGACAAAAAAAACCTAGGTGGTGCCAAGTTATATGTTAAGAGAGCATTAAGTAGATAGGTCTGGTCACACATAATATATCATTTTAGGACTGTGATAGTGATTTTTTTTTCCTTGTTTGTGAGGAAAGATTATAGTTTGTATTTGAAGAATGTCTGTTTCAAATGCTTCTACTTTGAAAAGGTCAGTACAGTGTTCAGGTTTATTCTTGGATACCAATTCAGGATGTGCAGAAAATCAAGAAAAATTCTCTGGCAATCAAGACTTTAGGATAATCAACTAGTAAGTTATTGGGAACACATTTACACTCTAGAATTCCTGACTCTCTTCTTTTAAACTCAAAAACTGAAAGTTTAGTTTTCATATGTCAGTTTGATCATGTTAGATTTTCTTAATATAATCAGATTGATCGGTTATTTAATCATTGAACTTTAACTTTTAGCAATTATTCTCAGGTAGGTGAGATGATTTCAAGTCATTATATAATACAGAAACTTATGAGAACATGTAATTCTGAGTCCGGCTATTTTTTTTTTTAAAATAGCTATTTGAATCATGAGTATAAAAACATATAACAATTAAATCCAAAATACCATCTGCCTTACCTTTGAATGTCAATAGCACCAAGAACATTTATAATCCCATTTCCTTGATGAAATTTTATATGAAAATAAAGACCATTATTAAATACACCTACACTTAGAAATATGACTTTGTTTTTCCCTTTAGAATTGTGTCTGTAAGGTTTCTAGAAGTCAAACATTGCACAAATTATACATGTTTCTGATTTTTCCCCCTGATACCACTATTCTGAGTACTTGTTTATCTAACCAGGCAAAAATTCCCAATATAAATTTTATTCTTAATTTTCATCCAGTGTCAACAAAGTATATTTTTTAAAGCTTAATTTATTTATGTATACAAGAACTGGGGTACAGGCCAGAGGTGTGGGGGGTGAGAGGACTCACCAGAGACAGAGTGGGAAACAGAACAGGCAGATTGGCCGAAATACACTGATGAGGGGAGCAGTGGGCAAGACAGGAGAGGTCTGCCTCGCCATGTGGGTTGCTCCCTGGCCGGCCGGGAATCGAACTCATGCTGTAGAGGCTGCGGATTGCTTCATAGGTTGTGTCTTAATCCCTTGTGCCACCAGAGAGGCCCGACGACAACGAAGTATTAATTGAAAAGTAGGCTGTGACTTGGAAGCTCTAGGTAACAGGAAGAACTCTGTTTCTCTTGTCTTCCTTTTCCTCCTCTTTTTTCTACCAACATGTGGTTTGGAGTATGTGTGAAGTCTCACTTAGTATGTTAGGGGTTAAATTCAATGCCAGATTATGTATTTTAGTTATGCAATTCAGCTCTGAATACTTTATAAAGAAGTATTTATTTGAAATAGGAACCACATTTGAATAGAACCATGAGTAAACCAAGATGCTCGTATTAAGAAAATCTCGCATGATTCACACTGTAATCAATAGGTCAAACTGACATTTCAAAAGCTAACTTTCAGTTTTTGTTGATTAAAAAGAGAGAAAGAGCCAGGAATTCTAGAGTATAAATGTGTTCTCAGTAACTTAATAGCGTCCCAGCATTTCACATTTATGTCCACTCCATCTCTTCTGTCTTCTCACCACCACAAAAGAATAGTGTGACTCTAGACTCAGCTTGCCTGGGTTCAAGTTTATCTCCATTCCAATAATTGTGTGATCAGGGGAAGTTACTTATCTCTCTGGTTTCCGTTTTCCTTGTCTTTATAATAAAGGGAAAATTTCATAGTATTTTGAGGATGATATGAGACAATATATCATAAGAATTTAATACAACATCTGACATATTCTAAGTACTCAATAAAGACTCTTATTATTTTACCTTTATTTTCTTTCATAGAATAATTGGCAATGTCCATGTTCATATATGTTAGCTAACCAGAATCCATAGTACTCATATCACAGAGATGGAAAGAGGAAATACAATGATGGAGGGAGAGGAAGGTATTTGCTCAAATGGAGAAATGAATTGTGGCTAGCGTGTGAGAAAAATATGGAAGTGATTCTGACATACTGCGGGATTATCCTTCAACTTTGGGAATGGGGATGAACATGTGAGAACTCGTGGTTTGTTCCTTTTTAAATGGCGTTCTGGTCATCTTCTGTATGCCAGACAAAGGCTGGGGGCCATCATCAAAGTACTCAACTTGGGAATTGCATTTATTTTCAATTGCTGTCTTTAAAAAAATACAAATGTAGTGACTTAAAACTGACAAAGGGACAGAAGGCTGACATAGATCTCGCTGGGCTAAAATCAAGAGGATGGCAGAACCTGGTCTTCTTTTCTGGAGACTCTGGGGGAGAAGATGTCTCCTTGGCTTTTCTAGCTCCTAGAGGCTGCCTGCTCTGCCTGGCATATGGCCCCTTTCTCTTCTGAGTTAGCAATTTTACATTCCTTTGACTTTTTCAGTCATCACATCTTGCTTCCTCACTAAAGTGAAAAAGTTGGGGCATCTAGCATAAAAG